TTCTCTCTCTCTCCCTCCCACTCTCTCTCCCGCTCTCTCTCTCTCCCTCACCCCTCTCTCTCTCTCCTCCCTCTCTCTCCCTCCCTCTCTCTCTCTCTCTCTCCCCCCACCTTACCCTTCTCTCTCTCTCCCTCTCACTCTCTCTCCCGCTCTCTCTCTCTCCCCCTCACCCCTCTCTCTCTCTCTCTCTCTCTCCCCCCACCTTACCCTTCTCTCTCTCTCCCTCCCACTCTCTCTCCCGCTCTCTCTCTCTCCCCCTCCCCCCTCTCTCTCTCTCTCTCTCCCCCCACCTTACCCTTCCCTCTCTCTCCCTCCCACTCTCTCTCCCGCTCTCTCTCTCTCCCCCTCACCCCTCTCTCTCTCTCTCTCTCTCTCCCCCCACCTTACCCTTCTCTCTCTCTCCCTCCCACTCTCTCTCCTCCCTCTCTCTCCCTCCCTCTCTCTCTCCTCCCTCTTTCTCTCACCCTCTCTCTGTCATTGTCTCTCTCTCTCCCCCCTCTCTCTCCTTCTCTCTGTCTCTGTCTGTCTCTCTCTCTCCCCCACTCCTCTCTCTCTCTCCCCTGCCCCCGTCTCTCTCTCTCTCTCCCACTCTCTTTTTCTCCCTCCTGATCAATTCTCCCATTGCACCCAATTCATCCAAAAGAGTTTCAGCATAGGTGCAACATGCAACCACTCAGCCCATCTAATAGAGGATAGCCCAAACTAGCCAACTGTTTAGAAAAGTGAGGGCATCTCAGAGAAACCTGTAAGCGTCTCACAGGACTAGACAGCGTACTTACAGGAAGGATGTTCCTGATGACCAGGGAATCCAGGACCAGGGCTCACAGTCTAAGCATATGGGGGAGGTCATACAGGACTGAGACAGTGGGGAGCCTTTGGAATTCACTGCCACAGAAAACAGTTAAGGCCAACGCCTTGAATGTTTAAGAAGGAGTTACATACAGTTCTTAGGGCTAAAGGGATCAACGAGTAAAATGGGAATAGGTGACTGAGTTGGGTGATCAGCCGTGATCATATTGAATGGCGGAGCAGGCTCGAAGGGCTGAATGGCCTACTCCTGACCCTATTTGCTTCTCTGGACCACTTTCGCATTTGGCCTCAATTTAACATCTGGCTAGTTTGCTATTGGGGAATCCATGTGGCTGGCACAGTGGCCTTGGTGAGGCGGCTGGGGTGGCATCTTTGCAAAGGGCAAACATTGTGTTTGATGGGCCAGATGTCCCCGGGGGCAGGCAGCATGGGAGAATGGGCTAGCCAGTGTGGTGGGCACTTAACCACTTTGCACACCCAGGTGTTGGGCAGTGCGAGATGTTTAACAATCACTAGCCTTACCAGTGCTTCCCATGACTTATGACCTTTTTAACCAGCAGATGGGGGGGAGCAGAGCAGTGGCAGGTGATTTCATTATTACCTGCTAGCTCATAAAACCATCCTTACTCTTAACACGAGCTTGCACATATGTATCTGAAGGGTGGCGCATTGAAACTAAGTTGACCCACACCCTGTCCATGCTAGCGACATGTTTCCTTCTGGGCTGATGGGATTAGTTTAGAATGGTACTTTGTTTGGCACAGACATGGTGGGCCGAAGGGCCTGTTCCTGTGCTACACCATTCTAAGTTCTTTTACATGCCACTGCCTTTATTGTGATAGAAGCAGCAGTTGAGTTGAACACTGGGCTCTGACATTCAGTGAGGCCACCTTTCCACCTGATGGCCCATGTTTCTCGATTCCCGAAGGATCTCTTGACCTCAGCCTTGACTGTCCCCACAGTGACTGGGCACCCTCAACCCTCTGGTATAGAGGAACCTGAAAAGCCTCTTAATGAAGAAGTGTCTCCTCATGTTTGTCCCAAATGGGAAACCCTTTGTGTAAAGACTATTCTCCCTCTAAACCATCCAGTCAGGGCCATAGCTTTGAACATCTAACCCAGTGAACTGTCTCACAATCTCAGATTTATCAATGAGATCTCTCATCCTTCTAAACACTGGGCAAGTATTGACCTCTTCCACCCTGTCACTGCTTATTGGAAAATCTTGTTCTCCCAGGAATAAATCTTACGCAGAGGGTGGTTTGTGTATGGAATGAGCTTCCTGAGGAAGTGGTGGATATGGGTACAATTACAACGTTGAAAAGACATTTGGATAAGTACATGAATAGGAAAGGTTTGGAGGGATATGGGCCAGGAACAGGCAGGTGGGACTAGTTTAGTTTGGGATTATGGTCGGCACAGACTGGTTGGGCCGAAGGGCCTGTTTCAGTGCTGTGTGACTCTAGAACACAACAGTCCTGCTTCTGGAACATTCTATAAGTGAAGTGCATCTTGTCCATTGCTGTAATCAGATCACCTTTAGCAAGCAGACACGTTTTAATGTGGCCTCAGGTTTATTGCTTGAACGCTGATCATGACAAAAATCTCTCTCTCTCCTTACCACTACCTCCTTTTCTTCAATTGTGTGTGTTTTTTTTTTCCTTTGCTTTTGTGCTTGTTCTGCTTCTGGATAAAACTTTGCATGTTTTGGGCAGCATTTTACTGCCATAGTCCACGTTACATTCGCCTTTCCTGGAGAATTGATCGTTTGGGTGGGGATAGTCCTTGTGGTTTATAAACGCGTAAACCCAGAACAAATTGAGCATCACTTGACACTGTTTAATATGTCTCTGAACTGAACAGAAGTATTTTCAGCTTGACCAAATAGCATTAACTGTGGCAGCTGTGGACTGCACTATTATTGCCCCCGATGTTAGAATGTAGGCATTTACTGCAACTCAGTTTGATGTAGTGTTTGTGGCTTGTCATTAGCAACGCTCTCAGCTGTTTTTTTTTGTCCTGTGCAGTTTGGGGAGACAGCTGTCCTCAGTGATCCTTCTCTGAAGCTGTTTGCAAAGGGCTCATTCTAAATAGTGTAAGAGGAGAGACAATTTTATCATTTATTTTACTTTGGTGTGGAGCAGTGCAAGGAAGCAGCAAATAGACCCCGTTGCAATTTGTACTTGAGGAAACTGTTCGGCTGTTGGCAGATATTTGGACTCTGGGTTTCTTCAGCTTTTCAGCTGGTTTTCCCGCATCGTTGACTCTAAACCAGTGCTGCCAAAGTCCCCAGCCTGTGTGCTTCATACTCAACAGTTTGCGTGAATGCTAAATGATAGTGAGCGCAGGCTGGGGAACACACAGTCTGCTCTCCTCACTGTGAATGATGTGTTAAGAGATACTGCTTTCACTCCACTGGTGTGACTACATTACCCTGAAAGACACAAAACTGTAGTAGTTAGCACCCTGCAAGGGAACAGTTTGGTTTACTGTCTCAGAGCTTCGTTTGTGTACAGAACATCCATGGTCATTAAAGACTCAAAACGAGCAGAATCCAGCCATCAGTTGTCACAGCACACTGTAGTCCTCGAGCTGTTTAACCAGCAATTAGTGTTACTGTCTTTTCCGCACACCTGCTTTATGCTAAGTATAAGTCTGATGTTTGTATTAATGGTATGACATTGCTGCACACTTTCTCCTCAATGTAACAGAGATTTTATTGAGTGCTTTCACCTGCTTTGTGCACAAAGTATTAGTGAAACTTTGCTGTGAATCTTTTGTCCCTTTAAGTTCCCTTCCGACAGCTCTCTCTTTCTCTCTCTGAAAGCAGCGACACAACCCATGGATTCAGAATGTACCTCACCCTCCCTGGGTATGCGCTGCTTCTGTACAATTCCCTGGGCAAGAGCTGGAACTGAACACCTGGGAAGTCATACAAGCAGACCACCGTTACAGGCACTCATCTGCCTGTCTGGTACACGGACCTGTTTAAGCCACCACCTTACATTCAGTTAGAGTTACAGCATGATACCTTCAGGCTGGTTAGAAGTTAATGGAACTAAGAGTTCTGAGGGGAAGGGTCACCAGACCCGAAACGTTAACTCCGTTTTTTCCCTTCACAGATGCTGCCAGACCTGCTGAGCTTTTCCAGCAGCTTCTTTTTTAGTTGTTAATGAAACTAATGTTGTTTTAACCCAGTTCACACAAAGGATGTTCTTTGTGGAGAGGTGATTATTGGCAAAGGTGGTCTTGTCTTAAGCAGAAGGAGGGTGGAATTTAGTGGAACCACGGTGAGAAACAAGCACATGTTAGAGTGGTTAAGAAAGCATTTAGCACACTTGTCTTCATTGCTCAGATCTTTGAGTTGGGGTGTCATGTTGAGGTTGTATACGATGTTCGTGAGGCCTCTTTGAAGTACAGTGTCCAGTTCTGGTTGCCCTGCTATAGGAAGAATATTATTAAGCTGGAGAGGGTTCAGAAAAGATTTGCTAGGAAGCTACTGAGAATGGAGGCTTTGAGTTATAAGAAGAGGCTGGATAGGCTGGGTCTTTTTTCACTGAAGTGTAGGAGGTTGAGGGGTGACCTTATAAGGATTTATAAAATCATGAGGGGCATCGATAAGGTGAATGGCAGGTATCTTTTTCCCTAGAGTGGGGGATTTCAAACTAGGGGGCATTTATTTAAGGTGAGAGGAGAAAAACTTTAAAAAGACAGGAGGGGCAACATTTTTATGCAGAGAGTGGTTCACGTGTGGAATGAACTTTCAGATGGAAGTGATGGAAATCACAAGATTTAAAAGACATTTGGATAAGTACATGAATAAGAAATGTTTGGAGGGATATGGGCCAAGCACAGGCAGGTGGGACTAGTTTAGTTTGGGATTATGGTCAGCATGGACTGCTTGGACCGAAGGGTCTGTTTCCCTGCTGTATGACTCTGTGACTGAGCATACATCCTGAGTCAGGGGTAACTGCTAACAGGGTAAAGACGCTGATTACAATGTGAGAGGATCCCATGAACTAAACCACTC